TTTTAATATTTGCTAAACAGGACTGTGGAGAAGGTGAAGTCTCGGCAGGGCTCCCAAGCGGTAACTGCATCTTGTTGTCTCAGGTTAATCATGTACCTAATTTGCCGATTATTGACTTGTTCTCGCAAAGGGTTTTCCTTGGCTTGACATATCAACAGCAATCAGTGATGAACTGTCAAGCAAACTTGCTCGCTTCCTTAACCACCCAAGATCCGGTCTTGCAGCAACAGACTCTGATGTGAGATTTTCTCTGATGCCTAGCCCTGAAGCCTGGTCATGTGCTTATTTTTTTTCTTCTTTGGCCTGATAAGTTTTGTTGCTAGAACCAGGGTTCAGCAAATCTGACACAATTTGTAGGATTTCAAATATTTGGCAAGATCCAGCCAGCTTCGGCTGTGCACACACATCCCCATAAGAATTCGAGTTGGTAGTTTAAGACTGACTTATTTTCATCCCTGTGTCTTACAAAAAAAAAAAAAAAGTCATGTAGGATGTCAAAAATGCTGCATTTAAAGCACAAAGATGGCATACTTTCCAACTGGCAATGTTTGAGAAATGGTGGGAATTTAATCTACAGAAGGGAGAAGTAAATGAATTAGTCACAGACTCCATGCTGTCGTGTACAGGCAGGGTGTATGCGCTCAGGAGAATCTAGCATGGTAAATGCAATCCAAAAAAATTTTTTTTGTAGGAGTATACACAGACTGCACTGCACTGTGAGTAGAAGACACCATGGCTTTTCATTCAGTTTTCTGGCCGCTTCTTCTGGGACCATCATCGACTGTCCACCCCTAAAGTTAGGGGATAACTTGTGGGCAATAAGGAAATGGACTTGGGTTTCATGCACCACAGAATTCTTCAGGGATGGGTGCTTTTCCAACCTTCCCTTTCTTCACCATGGGGAGTTGGCTTTGGACATGGTGATGCAAGCTTTGTAGGTCTGTATTCTTGAACCAGAGGGTGACGCCGAACAAAGTCATTGTTAACACATGAAGCAGGAATCAGAACCTCAGTGCTGATGTTTGTAGTTCAGTAATTCTTTTTTTTTTTTTGGGGGGGGGGGCTGTGCTGTAAGCAAGCAGACCAGCACTGAGGAGGCGGGGTCAGCAGTAGCTTTGGCCTCTGCCTGAGGATGTGTGGCAATGTTCTAGCTGTGATGACCACAAGTATGTCCAAGCATTGCCAATGTCGTTCTCCATGGTGGGAGAAGGGGAGGGTCGGTCTCCCCTGGTCATTGATCCCAGACTCAGCAAGAAACAGCATTTGCCATTTTAAGCCACTTGGACTGTCAGGAATTTTTTTTTTTTTTTTTTTTTGAACTGCAGTGGATATGCTTTGTTAGAGCAAACATCCATAAACATTCAGCCAAAGGGGACTACTTCATTGACTGTTTTTACTTTCTTCTTTTTTTGTTACTTGAGATTTTTGGCAATGAAAACATAGTTTATTCTTTAGTAAGAAGAAATAATGGGGAAATTAATTTTGTTTTTAAACTCTGCATAATTACCTGTCTGTATCACTGGTTTTATCACACACACACACACACACACACACACACACACACACACACATATACAGACACATACAATTTTTGAAGTCGACTATATTGGTGATCAAACACTGGACTTTGCACAGTCCTTTCCCATCTCCAATTCTGCCATACAATGAAATACATACTATTTTTCTATTGGGCTTTAGACTACCAAGGTTTTCCACATCTTCACTGTGTTGTTCTGTCTATTATCTACCTACAACAATGCTGTAGGGCGGGTCACAGGCAAAAGAGAAAGCAAAGGTAAGATGGGCTAAGGAATACATTGCCAGTGACCTGCGGATGGGTGTCGTGCCTCTGCCCAGAAAATCTTTGCCTAATTGCAGATCTCTCTCTCTCCTATGTCAGGTTGCTTCTGTATCTTTTGTAAAAAGCCAGTTTGAGAGAAAGTCAGCTGGGGCTGACACTGAATCTTGGAAATTTTAAGCAGGTTAAAAAAAAAAAAAAGGATTCTCGTCTGTATTTAATATCCTTGGACAAGGGTACTAAACTTGTAGGCTCTTGGTCAGAGCAAGATACTCTATAAAATTTAAACATAGCCATTTCATGCAACACCGTCAATGCAATTTCATCCCCTCTCCCCTCCCTTTCTTTCTCTTTCTCCAGCTCAAATGAGTCACCTTGGCTAGACTGCCAATCCCCATAGAACTTATGTTCCTTGATAGGATATGCCAATAGAAATGAGAAATTCTATAATAGCTTGAGACGTGTGTTAGTCACCTACCCCTGCAAAGAGCTAAGCACTATCTCCTCTAGGAAATGTAGCTCATCAAATGGACGTGAATGCATGTAATGACAGGGAGCGAATGTGAGGATGTGCATGGAGTATTTTTCTCTCCCCCCCCCCCCGCCTCACTTTGAAGCAGTGCCCTAACAGTGTATCTGTCTTGTGTGTTTCTGGGCATCTATACTATGCTGTGCTTACCTGACCCCTCAACACACCCTGCCTCCCTACATTGGCAGCTGGACTGAAGTCCCAGCTCCTATCAGCTCCTTGCTATTCATTTCCCTTCCCTTGAAGTGTATGCTGGGCTGTCCCTGGAGTGGAGCTATTTTGAGAGGATAATCGCTAGAACAATCACGAGCTTGGCAGGAGATGGACAGTGTGGTGTAGCCACAAAAGAAGGAAAGACATTGTCATTGAGGACTGGAGTCCCGAATGTCAGAACAGCAGGGAAACTGAGCGGAGTGTGTCTGTAGCCGCTGTCTGCTATCACTAGTTGCAAGGCTGTCATACTGACTCGCTGTAATCACAACTTTCCCGGGCTCTGGTATCCAGAGCTTGCAAGGCAAAGGGGAACAACAAAGCCAGGGGAACAACACGAAGAGGCAATATTTTCCCTAGCATGGCTCCTTGCAGCTGACTGGCTGAGAGGGAAGTTATGCTCAGCTGTGCCCAGAGGCATGTGCATCCATTCCCAAATCATGGCGATAAGCAGCTTTCACCACTGTAAATCTTTCATTACCCTACAGCAGAACCAGCGGAGCCTGAAGGTCAAGGAGACCACCTAACACTCCAAAGAACTTCCCAGAGTAGCAGCACCCTGTTGCCTGGCCAGACGCTCTGGCGCTGCCTTGGAGACTCCCTTCAGCTGAATTCTTCTTTTTCTGGATGAGAGTCTTTTTGGAGAGCAGCTGTCTGCTTGGTCAGGGACAATGTTCGCTCATCTCTGGCTAATCCGTGCCTGGCCCAATAAATATTTTTTTTCTGGATGGCTGGATGGAGGACTCATTGATTACCGCTTTACATATTGGTCCCAATAGCAAGCACTGTCTACGGTAATAAAAACCTACACAGCCCTCCCCTGCTCAAAAACGAAACAGCCCTTGGAGTCCTTATATCGATTATTGCTGGCTATAAAGATGGGATTGCAAATAAGTTTCATCTCGAGAGCCAACACTGGTCGATTGGCAGTGGCTGCCTCAAGAGCTGTGTGGGGAGGTATTTGTGTACTGGGCTCAGTGAGGAAAAGTGCTGCCATCGATTAGCAATGTCTGCTGTGAGCTAAAGACAAGTATGTGGTGGCCTGACTGCTTCCTATTTGCCAATGATTTTAAAGTCTTAATTACTTCCAATAGAATTTTCTAGATGAATCTCTTTCCAACACCTTTCAAAGCCAGCCTTGACTGGACATCTGGGCACTTTCCCTCCGCTTCCTATGGTACTTCATAGTTTTGCTAGATTTGAGGGCAAATGGGTCAGGGAAAATGCAGCTTTCCTCAGAAAATATAATTCTTGTTGGAAAAGAGATTCAAGCCTGGTAGGTGTAATTTCAGTTCAAGTGGCAAACATAATGAAATATCTAGCAAGAGTCGAATCTGCAACTCAGGAAAGCCTGGTGCATCAGCTAGCTACTGTGCTTGTACAACAGAAGTGAACAAGAAAAAAATGCCTCCACCTAGTTACTGTTCTCGCTAGAAACATTTGTGGGGATGACAAGAATCATACAAGAGGTGATAAATATGAGTCACTCCCCTTATTCATAACTCTGGCAATAATCTCCCTTTTATATTGCAAAGCATTCCCCCGAGGAGCTCAGTTCAGGCTGCGAAAGAGAAATGTCACTGGATAGCAGTTCCATACTTCACTCTTCCCGCACGCAAGTGGTACATTACCTAGCGTGACCTTAATGAAATGACTCTCCAGCAAAAGGCACCCCCAAATTAACTCCTAGGCCAATCAAACATTAGCAGCCTGTCACATCTTTAAAATCAACGAAAATTCTTGCACAAACATAAATTTAACTTGGAGAACTCTCAGTGGTTTTAGTTCATTCACCACTCTGTCACCACCTCAGCTGATTTCAGAGGAGTTCCATCACCCACGGAAGAAGCTGTGCTCCTGTAAGAGGTCAGCTGCCATTCCCTGGCAACTGCTCACCTACCGTGTACATCTATGAATTTGCCTGGCCCAGGGAGTAGTTAATATAAAAACAAGTGTGGAACACTTGTATCTGACTTCCTTCCTTTTGTGTCTGACTTTCTTCATTTGGCATAGTATACCCATGCACGCTGTACCAAATCAGAGCACGCCATTCCTTTTTATGTCCTAGTAATATTCTGTTGCATAGACATGTTACCTTTTGTTTATCCAGCCACCTATCATTTGGACATTCATGTTGCCTTTCACTTTTCATTTCACTCTGAAATGCTGTAGTGTGAATTCATTAGTGTGAATCTGATAGAACAGCATGCTTTTTCCCTTCTCCTTGCGCATAGACGTAGAAGAGAAAGTTCTCTGTCCTGTGGTAGTTCTACTGTTACCTTTCTCAACAACTGCCAGCCTTACTCTATAATGGATGTATCGTTTTGGTTGCAGGAATACACAAGGGCTCAGATTTCTCCAGATCCTTGTGGTCGCTTTGGTTTTAACTACAGGCGGTTCAGCAGGTACAGAGCAACGAGCCTGCGCATGTTAACCTCTCGGTTCCATCAAGTGTGGACATACCTGTGCGTGAGACGGTGGCAGTCCTCTTCTTATATAGACCCCGAAGAGGGCATCCTTCCCCAGGGAGATGTTGAACTTTAGGAATTGGGGCTGACTGATGTGAATCTGGGACCTCCAAAACACCCCCGGGGGGACTTCCTGTGTCACCCGTCGGCCAACCTCTGCTTCGCCACTGTCTATGCTGCTGTTTTTCAACGACCAGGGCACTGGAACACAGGAATAAATATCATGTCAAGGACATTTGTATACATTAGTTGACATTTAAGCTTAATCATATGCCAGAATTTGTTGTTGTTGTTGTTTCAAAATTAAGACAAGACTCATTCTCTTTAAGTGGCAGCTAAAACACAGAGGACTTAAACAAAAATGCTATAAATTCACACTGCAGGGTGTCTGAGACGCTGGCACAATACTTTTTAGGGATTCGATTATTAATCTCTTCTGACCAAATATAGTACGAGACAGAGTCTGAGGAGCAGCCATGAAGTTCCACCCCCATGTAACTGACATCTTTATTTTTTATTTTAATTTTAAAAATCATTCTCTCATAAATTACATCCTGATCACAGGTTCCCTTTCTTTCATTCCTCCCATTTTTTCCTCTATATTCACTTCTTACCCATTTCTCTTAAAAACAAAACAAAACAAAAACAGGCCTCCCATGGATATCAACCAAACACAGCATAACAAGTTGCAATAAGACTAGACACAAACCCACATATCAAGGCTTGGCAAGGAGACCGTTAGGAGAAAAAGGGTCCCAAGAACAAGCAAAAGAGTCAGAGACACCCCCACTCCCATAGTTAGGACTCCCACAAGAACATCAAGCTACGCAACCATATGAGTATGCCGAAGACCTAGGTCAGACCCATACAGCGTCTGTGATTGCCACTTCAGTCTCTGTGAGCCCATTTGAGACCTGCTTAATTAATTCTGTGGGCTGTGTTCTTGCGGTAACTGGCCTCTTAAAATTACCAGGGAGGAAGGAGACAGCCGTGTTAGTCTGGAGCTACACTTAAATTTTTGGAAGCCCTTCATTACTCTTGCCAGACAGAAACAAGCCCAGCCTCTTCTGATACCTGGAACACAAACCAGTCTAAAGTCCAAAATAAATAAGACAGCTCAGCAGAAAATGAAGACACCACCTGATACTGGATTGGCGCCTTAAGAGGTAGAGGGAAGGGTGAAAGGATCCTGAGAAGTCACTCTTTTGCCTTGAGACTTTGACACAAAACTGTTACGTTCTTGGATTGCTGGTCCTGAAAAGTTCAATTGCCCATGCACAACCTTCCTTGAATAATAGATGTTTTGTTAAGGAAAACAAAACACCCTAAGGGGAAAAAAAACCAAAAACTCTTTATCTTTCCTTATTTTTACTTTTTCTTTCTTTTCTTTTTCCCCTCCTCTCCTCTTTCTTCCTCTTCTTTTTGGGGGATGGGATCTTTCTCTGTAGCCCATGTTGGTATGGACCTCACTATATACATAAGGCGAGGCTGGCCAGGACTCATGGCAATCTTCCTGCCTCAGCTTCCTGAGTGCTAAGATGAAGCAGCATGCATGGCTTTCAATGTCTAGGTTGAGAGAGGATTGCTTCCTTAGAGTGAGCTAGCTTTCTACCTGTATGTCTGAAGATACTTTCATTTTCAACCAGGGAAAAAGGAAAAGCTGAGTCAGTTGCTCCAGAGAAGCAAGTTAATTTATATCTTGGAGCATCATTTTCCCTGTTTCCATGGTGAGGGGACACATGGCCAGAGCTTGGGTGCATAGGTGCCATTTGTGATGGCCACAAAAGGGTTCAACCGCAGAAGGAAATATAAACAACCCTCATCATTACCATCATCCTGACTTAAGAGCTTCTAAACCAACTGAAACCAGCCAGAGAAAGAGGTCATTTCTGTCTCTGTCCCTTTCTAGGGGTGTGGATCACCCCAGTGGGCCCTGCACTCCCAGCATCTGCAGCCTGGGCAAAGGAGGCTGAACAAGTTCCCTTTCGTGTTCTGCACTAGCTGGACAGCCCCATACTCTTATGTGGTCTTGACCTTAGTTTCCTCATCTGTAAAACGAGCACGTGACATCTTTGGAATTCGAAATGTCTTCCACGTCTAAATTATGAAAAACCGAATGAGTTTTTGGTTTTGGAGTCATCCCTACCCCGCCACCATGAAGAACGATTTGTTTTTTTTACTCAGCTCAGTAGTAGATCAACAGGGTCTTAGACTAGCTGGCCCCTAATAGAATAAAATGAGGCCATGGGCTTCTAAGGGGAGCTTGGAAGTTCCCATCTGATAAAAGAAACATGCAAAGAGGTCGTGAGTGGTTTGCACTGATGGAAGCAGAGTAGCTAGCATGTTGGGCGTCCTGGATGAACACAGGCTGTATGTCCAGCAGGCACTAACACATAACTGCAGGGGAACCGTAGGTTAGTGCATGAGAGTAGACTCTGGTGCCTTACCTCATGTCTTGGCTTGGATACTTGCCAAATGTACCAGACTTCTGTGCCTTGGTTTCCTTGTGTGTCTAGTAGGGACACTGCTATTACTTGTTTCCTAGGTATGTTTTTGATGAGTCAATGATTTGATCCCCACGAAGCTCTCCGAATCCTTTCTGACACAGGGTATCATTATCTAAGACCCTAAACCTCAAACAGCTCTTGTTAATTTGAGGGATTTCCGAGATCATGCTGAGTCCAGGAGAAAACATTTGTTTTCACAAGTTGAACAGAGGCTGTGACTGGTACAAACTGAAAACTTTTTATTTAAAAATGTTGCTTTTTTTTTTTTTATTTGTCAGATTTCCCTACCTAGATTAAAGCCTTTGGGCAGACAGAATATTCTATTAAAAAAGGAGCCAGTAGGGAAGGATTGAAACAAACAAACAAACAAACAAACAAATCAAACAACTACAACAGAAACCTTCCTGAACAAGAATACTTGTGGGCCTTTGATAGAGACCAAAGAAAATGCCAGCAAAGGGTAACAACAAGTGAGGAAATGTATTAACACTGAAAGAGCCTTGAAATCCTAAGCTCTTCCTCTAAGCTTGCTATCGCTTGGGGCTTAATAGCTAGGTGACAGATGTTCCATCTCATCTGTAGGCCTCAGAGCTGCTGGGTTAATGATAGGCTGGGCAACCCAGGCTGGCAATCTGCAGCCAGCAGCCTTCGGTGAACTCTGACCCGCTGGAGACAATGGATGCTATGGAGAAACCCAGAAAAGGAGCCTCAGAGCTCTAGTTTTAGAGTCATGGGACACGGCTCCTTTCTTGTCCAGGACCCTAACTTAGAATGCTGTGCTCAGGAAACCATCTCCAGCTGTCCCTGGGTAGAGACTCTCTACTCAGCAGCCACACGTCTAGTTGTTGTTGCCTTTCTTCATGTGACATCCTCTAAATGAGATGCAATATTTAGGGCTGGGCTATAAGATCGAGGGTGGGAGAGGGCAGCTTAACAGGGCCCAAATCCTGGCTTCCATGCAGCGTGACCTCAGCAATTTGCTTACACTCTCTAGGCCTCCAGTCCTCCATTGTAAAATGGAAACCGTATACAGTTGGAACAATTACGTGTCCACAAAGAAGATTATAGTACTAGGCCCAGCACACAGTAATAGCAAAATGAATGAGGTGAGTTACAGGGATGGAAAATGGCCATAGAAGAAGGAAAAACAACACAGAAAATTTCTTTTCTTTCTTTCTTTCTTTCTTTCTTTCTTTCTTTCTTTCTTTCTTTCTTTCTCTCTCTCTCCTTCCTTCCTTCCTTCCTTCCTTCCTTCCTTCCTTCCTTCCTTCCTTCCTTCCTTCCTTCCTTCCTTCCTTCCTTCCTTCTTTCTTTCTTTCTTTCTTTCTTTCTTTCTTTCTTTCTTGTTAAAAAAAAAACTTTTTAAAAGATAGAAAGTTTGGTGAATATATGTGACCTCTGCATGTATATGTATGTGTGTTTCCATGTCTTGAGAGTGTCTGAGTACGGTAGGTTTAACTAGAAGAATAAAACTTAGACTCGAGGCTTTGAGCCTGGCCCCGGGTAGGTCCTCTCTGTCTCGCTTTGCTGGAACACAGCTTGCAGTACCTGCTGGTGCTGCTGGGGGGCTCTGCTGGCCTCCACAGCACTCTGTCTAGCTGTCCCCACCTAGGTCAGAGAGAGGCTCATTGTCTTTGACCCCGCCCACTACTACCTTGAATCGCTGCACCACTCCCGCTGAATGGGCCTCAGCTCCACTTGCCCATCTGCTGGGTAATTTTCAGCAAAGCCCTGTGACAATTGGGTGACAGGAGAGCCTTGAGGAAGATTTACTTTGAAGACTTGCATATAAGCTGAACTTCTTTTAAAAGACAAAATTACCTTTTGAGAACTCTACATGGAATTTGCTATTTAAAGAACCTTCTTTCCTTGCGGACTGTTTGGCAGAACTGGGAGTAAAGTTCTGCTGTCTCTTTTCTACAAAGTCTAATTAATAAACAAACACACCAGGAGAGGTGGGGTACAGTGGAAAGGCCCTTAAAATAAAAGAATCAAAAGTTAAGGATCCTGGCCCTGAATGACCTTGAACCCTTCATGGACGAATGGGTAGGAACAAACTATTCTGAGTTGCACTCCCATCATTGCTTCTAAGAAATCACAGTTTTAGGACTAGCTCTCAGTGTCTCAACGTCCTTTTTTCATGTAAGAATGGTATAGACTCAGAGGTGTATTAAATGACATTCCACTCTTGCCTTCTATGCTCTAGAGAACATGCTGTGAGAGTCATTCTTTAAATAAGCCACAAGGAGTCTGTAGGAGTGTATGCTCAGTCGGAGAGGGTGCCCACCAGCAGACTAGAAGGGGGACCATGAGAAAGTCCTTGTGCTTGGTTTACAGGTGTCCTTAATTTTAACAAACTCAGTGGCCTTGACATAAGCTTCTTCCACTGGTAGACAGTATTCTGGTTTGTATCTCTGGTGCTGTGATAATAAACCCTGGCCCAAAGCAACTCTGGGTAAAAAGGGTTTATTTGGCTTATACATCCGGGTCACAGTCGATTATTGATGAAAGCTGGGGTAGGAACTTGAGCAGGAGCTGGGGCAGGAGCCACAGCATAAAGCTGCTTACTGGTTTTGTTACTGGTTCTACTCAGCCAGTTTATTTCTACAACCCAGGATCACTGTCCCAGGAGTGGCACCACCCACAGTGAGATGGGCCCTCTTCCATCAATTAGAAATCAAGAATATGCCCCAC